AGTGTCCCTCAATTGACGAGTGCATAATGAAAATGTGGTTCATTTATAGATTGAGTTTTACTCAGCAGTAAAGAAAGATGAAATCTTTAAATTTGCAGGTGAATGGATGGAACTAGAAACTGTTATACTAAGTGAAGTAACACAGACTCAGAAAAAAAAAATCGACATATGTTCTCCCTCATATGTGGATCCTAGAACCAAACCTTGGTAAGTGAGTATGTATCCAGAAATAACTACAGGGACCAGGATAATGGAAAGGAAACAGGGAGGTAAAGGAAAAGAAAGAACCTGAAAGAGAAGAACAGTAGGAAACAGGCCTTAATAAGGGAGATATGGATAAAAATTGGGTTAGTTTAAGGGAGTGGGGAAGGAAGGGTATACAAGGAACCTAGGGGATAAAGGGAAAGAAGGAGCTCAAGAGAGGTAGGACTATAGGAGAAGGTTATTATTTTAAGGGAGAAAGGGGGAAAAATGGGGGCACCTTAATTGGGGAAACCATGATAGAGGGGTGAGACAATGCAAGAGATAAATAATGCCTAGCTAGTTTTAAAAACCAGAGGGAACCATATTACTCCACAACCTACTATTGGTCTTTGCCCAGGATTTATCTACATGACACACAGTAATTAAAAGTACCAGACTGGTCGAACTAACCTTCTTGGATGTTTAACAGACATACTTTGAGGCCTATAATAATTTGGTCAGAGGGACATAAAGGACACTTTTTGCTCCTTGCCCTCCTAGGTCAACTAGTTCCATGGGACTATGAGTATCTCTCAAAATGTCCTTGATGGTGGATCACCTGTTCTCTTGATCAAGGAGGCTGAGGAGACCCCACCAGATAGACTTAAACCAGTGTCCAGTCTACAAAGAGGAGCGTGAACTCAGAGGAATCATTTCCTCCATGCTTCCAAGCAAAGCCAGCCATGATCGAGTAGGACCTTTGACTTATCTTCACATAGGCAGAACTGGTTAAAGAAAGGAGCCAGGGTCTCTCTCCCAAGCCCATGTGACCCCTGAGGAACAGATCCTCAAATGACCTTAAGAGTAAAAATAAATTGGTTTATCTGGGCCAACTCTATGGCCTAAACACCCAAAAGGAAAGTATAACCAAAGATTAAAGGGGCCAACATAATTTTTAAGAGTCCATATGTATAGCTAAAGGCTATGTAACAAGCAACAATGCCAGATAGGAGATACCTTCTTTTGATTCATTGGCCAGGGTGGCCAAAGGGACTCCCAGGTCGTAACCCAGCATAGAACTGGGAAAATGAACAGCAGACCCCAATCTTATCCAAAGGAATATTGACAACTGATTGCTGCTAGATGAGGGCTGACTAGATTCACCAGATGGACAAGTAGTGGAGAATGGCTGGGGGTGCCGACAACACAGTAGACAGTAGCAGGGCTATCAGAGTATAAGGGCTCTAGTGGGGGGAGAGAGGCTATGGGAGGGGGCCATCTGAGAAGTGGGTGTATAGTTGAATAAGATGGTTTGGGATGTTCTGTGTGATATACACACAAAAAAAATTAACGTCTAACTTTAAAATGTATATTTGAGGAGGAAGCATGGAAATTTACATCATGTTAATTAGTAGAGGTGATATACATTACCACTGAAATTTACCCAATGACTTTATAGACATACACAGGCACCAAGGATCCAAGTGCAACTGATTATAACTACTACTAATCAGATACATACAGACTAGAGATGCATGCGCCAACATCTCAGTGTTAGTAGCAAACACAGTGAGTCTTTCTGCAAGAAACAATATATTCTAAAGTTAGATGGAGATCTTTTTTAAAGGTTAAAAACTCATTCAAGTTTATGTCTTACAGGGCTTGTACTGAGTTCAGCATTGTATAACTGTATTAATTCAACTGTGAGCCTAAAAACTTACAGCCACTTGTGAAATAGATGTACTCTTGCTCTGGAGTGTGTTACTGAATATGTTAAAGTTGTAATGAAATGCTTCTTCTAATCATGTAGTTACTAAAAAAATTTTTAATTCCTAAAAGAGAATGAAAAATGCATGCACACATATACATTCCTGTTTCTCTTCCTTTGAGCATGTTTGTACAAATAGTAAGTTTCTAGACAGTCTTCAGATGAATTTGCCTTTCTAAACAACTGTGATCCTGAAGTAGAGTCACACAGCTCAAGTATATTACCCCAAATTTTGCTTGGTTCAGGAGCTTTCCCACTAAGTACTCTACTGTGGTTCAATTTCGGATGCCTACAAAATTCCACATCCCAACAAATGCCCTACAATTCTAATAATCAGAATATTTTGAAGTGCCATAAGTGGGCAGTATCTTTTGAAATACTATGTACTCACTGTTTCAAGATCCTATCATTCTGAATAAGTTTTAAAAACCCACTAGATAAGGTGCAGTAGAGCCATGTGTCGTAACTGAAAGGTCACGGACTTTGGAGTTACACAGACGTAATGCTAAATTTCTGCTATGTGTGTCATTATCTATGTCATACAAGGCATTTACTCATTTCTCATTTTAGGTTCCTTCACCTCTAAAATGGGGACAAAAGTTCCTTGTTATAAATTACATAAAAATTATAAAGTGCTTGAAATATAGTTAGTCCAATGTGATAAATTAAATGTTGAATTCTTGATGAATATGGGTGTTTGGTAAATGTTAGTCCTCTTCCCACCAAAAATATTAACAAATGTATTGTTACTGAAAAGCAAAGAGTGACTAGTATTAACTAGGCCCTATTTTGGGACTGGGGATATAATCATAAATAAAACAGCTTCCCTTAGAGACTTTCCAATTTAACTTAATCATTAAAAAAAAAATCAGCCAGTTAACTAAGATACACTAGTCCAAAATTATCTGAAAGAAATTATGTCTGTAAAAATCGATAGACTGGAGATCGTCATGCAAAGAGAAATAAAGCAGACTCAGAAAAACAAACAGCTAATGTGTTCTCTCATATGGGAAGCTACAGTTTAAAATCTACCCCCCTCCTGTGTGTGTGTGTGTGTATATATATATATATGAGAAAGAGAGAGGGAGGGAGGGAGGGAGGGAGGGAGAGAGAGAGAGAGAGCAAAAAGTGAACTGAAGGGAGGGTTTGAAAAGGAACAGGGAACACAGAAGGGAAAAAAGACAAATATGTTCTTATATTCAGAACATATACATATATAACATCAAAGCAGAGGGGAGGCTATTTAGAGGGAGGAAGCTGGTGAGGGGGTGCGATAAGGGAGGGTGATGGTGGAGTGAATGAGCAAATACAATGATACGTGTGTATGAAAATGCCATGAAGAAGCCAACTGCTTAGTTCACCAACATTACAAATCAATTAACAAGCTGGCCTGAGCCAGGTGTGGTGGTGCACGCCTTTAATCCTAGCACTTGAGAGGCAGAGGCAGGTGGGTCTCTGAGTTCAAGGCCAGCCTGGACTACATAGTGAGTTCCAGGCCAGAAAAAAAGAAAAGAAAAAAGATTAACAAAGAAACCATGCCTGCAATGGTGGAGTTGGACACAGGAGGGGACATTGGAAATAGCCATTCTCTATGCAAGAACTTGCTCTAACTGAAGAGACACAGTTTACACTGATATTCATAGTCTCCTTGTCAATAGCTTCAAAAGTCCCTAAGTACCATTTTCAACTTTCAGACGACACTTTCTGTTCAATGATCTGTTTACATTTATCCTAAATTCAATAACTAGATATTAACTGCTGAAATATTTATTAAAATAGTTCCTATTTCAGCTCTGCAAGCAATAGATGCTAAACTGTTATCAGACTGTTCCTTTCTTTACTGACACCAGTTTTTGCTACTCCCTTTCCTTCACTGCATATAATACAGAGTTTCTAGCCTGTTTATTCAGGACCTTCTACTAAGTAAGCTTCATCTTTGGTTATTGAGATGATCTTTTTACCATTGCCTGATTATGTAATCTTAGCCCATTTCTGAATCACTATTTTTTCATTTTACATTTATATTAATTTTTATTACATACATTTTTAAAGTATAAAATTGCATTAAGTATTTTTGATTATCACACACTAGAGCTACTAGTAGAGTGTTATTTTGACCTGATTTTTTTTTTTCTTCTTCTTCTTCTTTTTTGAGATAAGGTCTCCCTGCAGCCCCAGCTGGCTTGGAACAGCTTTGTGGGCCAGGTTGATCTCTCACAGATACCTGCCTGCCTCTGTCTCTGCCTCTGCCTCTCCAATGCTGTGATTAAAAGTGTGTGTGACCACACTGGGCTATCAAGTCAGTTTTTAAAAAGGATTTTTCAAATTAGATGCCTGCAAGACACTTGTATTCTTTATCAACAAGGTATATCCTCCTATGATAACTGAGAAATTAAGACTTGGCTGTGTAGGGGCATAAAAATCTGTCACCTACATGACTGACAAAAATTTATTGGTCATTTAATGTCACTGATTATGCATAATCGTTTAACTTTCTTATATTCGTTTCATAAGAAACAAAATATTTTTCTCATTTCTATTAATGGCTTTAAAATTACAAAATGTACTTTCTGATCCAATTTGGGATAAGGATGAAAATACACTAATTAAAAATTACTAAATTAGAGCCATAGTCAAGATTTTCCTAATTAAATTCTAGTTTCAACTTACGGAGGAATCTGTTTAAACTGAGCCATCAATTTAATCTTAAATCTAGGTAATTCACTGAACTTCCAAACTCATTTTTATCTACTGTAAATAGACCATAAAGCATGCAAGTTCTTTTAGGATTAAAGTGGGCAATAAGTCTTTATTTGCTGTACATTACTGCTATCGTGCTTCCTTTAAAAACTTGAAAGGAGACCAGGAAGGCACTACGCCTGCTTTAAGGGACCGGCACTGAAATCAGGTTACATCTCTGCTGGAGCAGAAGGGTAAAGACCTGACTTCAGACCTCACACTGCGGAGGGCTTTGTTCTACCAAGTTTAACTTCTGGGGTGGCGGTGTGGGGGAGTACGGGGAGGGGATGGGGGAGCTAGGTCCCAAGTACGAATCCAGAGGGCGGTTCCCCGTGACGCGCAGTCCCTTGGGCGGATCTTAGTCTGGAGGCCACTGGCAGGTCACCGGCCGCCAGCGACTATAAAAAGCTCTGGGCAGGCTTCCTCCAAAGCCCGCTCCCCACGAGGACCGGCTCCCCTCAAGGCCGCTGTCCCCCGCCTCCCAGGCCCTGCTCCCCTCAGAGGACACTGAACTGCCGAGGCCTCCCCCGGATCTGCAGTCCGCCCCGCCGCGCGCCACCTGAGACGGAGCCCGCCTCCGCAGCGCGCGCACTCAGGGCCCCGCGTCGCGTGACTCGGCGGGCGGGCGCGCGCGGGGTGAGAGGCCTTGCGCGGGCCACTTCCGACGCAGCGCTCGCTTCAGGTTCCGGGGCGGCCGCCTCGGTCCGGGCCTGGGATCCGGCGGGATGGAGGAGGCCGGAGCGTCGGTGGCCGGGGCCGGGGAGGCCGAGCTGAACTGGTCCCGCCTCAGCGTGTCCACCGAGACGCTGGAGTCGGAGCTGGAGGCGCGCGGCGAGGAGCGACGCGGCACACGCGAGGCGCTGTTGCGGCTGCTGCTGCCGCACAACCGTCTGGCGTCGCTGCCGAGGGCGCTGGGCAACGGCTTCCAACACCTGCAGCTGCTGGACGTGAGCGGCAATGCTCTGACCGCGCTGGGGACCGAGCTGCTGGCTCTGAGCGGCCTGCGCACGCTGCTGGCTAGGAACAACCGGCTGGGCGGCCCAGGCGCGCTGCCCAAGGGCCTGGCGCAGTCGCCGCTGTGCCGCAGCCTCCAGGTGCTCAACCTCAGCGGCAACTGCTTCCAGGAGGTTCCCGCGTCGCTGCTGGAGCTGCGCGCGCTGCAGACCCTCAGCCTGGGCGGCAACCAGCTACAGAGCATCCCCGCTGAGATCGAGAACTTGCAGAGGTGAGCGGGCCGCGCCGGAAGGTGGGGAGCCCTGGGCGGTGCCCCCTGCCCTGGCGCACCTGACACGTGTCAGGTCACTGTCTGTGTCGGTTCTCTTGCTTGAACTTGAGTGGTGAGTAGTGCCAGTCCGTCTGCGCGAGTTGTAGGAACTCCAGAACTCATGAGATTGCGTGGACCACGGCGTTTGGATTGTAGTTTGGCCTACGCAGATTCTGCGAGGTTATATTGCTGTCTTTACTTATTTAATTTATTTACATGTGTGCCTGAGTGTATGTATGTATGTATACCGTATGCATGCAGGCAGGGTGACCTACCGTGTGAGTGCTGGGAACCGAACCCAGGTCCTCTGGAAGAACAGCAAGTGCTCTGAACCTCTGCGCCATCTCTCCAGCCCCCAGTTTTGCTCTCTTATCTCTCGAGTGTTTGGAGAGAGAGCAGAGTGGATACTCATTAACATGTAAAAAACTAGGGTGGTCACTTGCTTACCCGAAAGTCTTCTGTGATTTTCCATAAAGTTAGATCAAAGTACATGCCTTTTAACGTGGCATAGGAAGTGCTTCGACCTACCCTCCCCCCCAGCTCCATTTTCTCTGTAACAGTACCAACAGAACCACTTGAGTTAGTGAACTTTGCACTTAATCACCTTGTAGAAGAGGCAGCTTGTAGGAGCTGGGGGCATTAACTGAGAGTGTGTTGCCCTGGATAGGTTTGGTTTCTTCCCTGGCGAACGCCTATGCCCTCTTAAGAAGCTATCACGGGAATCACTTCTGTGAACGTTTCTTTTCTGTTCCTAGACGGTTCTTGCCAAAATGTTCTTTGCCCCATTCGCCTTAGTATTGTATTTATCCTCCTGAGTATAATTCCTTGTTTAGGGGAATCATCTGCCTCACCTCTTAGGCTGTTCAATAATGTTGAATTTAGTGGAATGAGGAGGTACAGAAAAAGAATAATAAATGTGCCCTAAGGTGCCCTGCAGGGAAGCTAGAAGTAGACCAGAACAAAAAATTATCTTGTTTGTTAAAATGTTTTCCTTTCCTTTATTGGGTTATCCAAAATAACAGAATGTAGAGCTGAGAACTGCAGTTAGTGGAAAGCCTTGACTTGGGAATAGGAATTCTTCATGTGCCAACCTCAGGCAGTCATTTAGTGTGCCAGAACCCTAACTTCCTATTCTGCAAATAGAGGCATCTGGACAGGATGGCCCTTCATCTGCCCTTCAGTAGACATTTGCAGAGAACTTGATGTATGAGACATTTTCCTAGGGGAAACATGGTGAACTTGGTCCTGCCCACATGGCACTGACGTTAACTAAGGATAGAGACAGTAAGGATGTGTAGACTCCTTATTAAATTACAATGTTTATAAGCTCTGGGAACACAAGAATGCTGAGACAAAATAACAGGCTTGACCTATTTTGGTCCTTGAGTAGGTTCCATTTGTACTAGGCTTTGGAAGGAAGTTACAGTGAGGATTAATAAGGGTGTGAGCCATTTGGGATCAATCCAAGTAAAAAGAAGAGTGCATATGAAAGCCCGGAAGCAAGGGAAGTAACTACCAAACTGTGGAAAGGTGAGCCTTGTACGAGGAAGAGGCAAGTAGAAATTTAAGTCACTCCGACCATGCCACATCTTGAAGGCGGGCGGTAGAGTGTGAATAGCATTTTAAGCACACATTTGTCTTTTTCTGTGCAGAAGTGGAATGGGGAGAGGCTGAAGAGATGAGATTCTGAGCGCTGGTTAGGAGGCCATTGTAGAATGAGCCATGTTATAGGAGGAGTGGAGGAGGGAATGTAGGAAATAGAACAGTTGAGAGATTTAAGGTAAAATTGACAGGCTTTGATTACTTTTAATATTATGTAATTCCACCTTTATTTGCATTTCAGCATACTAAGAGGAAGCTAGGGAAAATAGTGTTTCTGTCACCTGGGAAACAAAGTGGGCAAAATTCCATTTATGGGACACTTAAAAAACACAGTGCAGTAGACCGTGTCATAGGTGCTCTAGTAGAAATTCTCTATGATTCTAAGATGATGTACTCCCCTTTTTAGAGGAAGAAACAAGATCTCTAAGAAATTAAGTCTCAAGATCAAAAAGCCATTAAGTGGTGGAAGTGGTTTTAACGTCTCTGACCTCTGATGCCAAATGCATCAGAGGCAAAGTAGGACTAAGACTTTTAGTAAGACTTTACTTCTGCTCCATTGTGTATGCAGTCCGGAGGGTTGGTTCAAATCACTCATACCTGTATGATCTTATTTATCTGAGCTGACAGCTGTGGCACTTGAGGCTATAGTTCATTGTGTCTTAGACTTGATAAATTGTGCAATGTCTTATGCCATGGTTTTTGTTTTTTAGTCGTATGCTTTATTTTTCCTCTGAAAGTAATCAGCAAAGGTTTAGATCATGAATTCTAATAGAATGTAGGCCAAAAGGATTGTTCTACTTTGCTTTCTGTTGCTATGATAAAACTGACCAAAAGCAGCTGGGGGGGGGGGGGTTAAAGGATATAGGTTACAGTCCATTAACTAAGCAAGCCAAGGCAGGAACCCAGAGACAAAGACCATTGGAGGAATGCTGCTGCTTGTTGACTTGCTTCCCCTAGCTTGCTTGGCTGCCTTTCTGATACAGCCCAGGCCCACCTCCCCAGGGATGGCGCTTCCCAGAGTGGGTGAGACCCTCCCACATTAACTAGCAATTAAAAAAATGCCTCACAGACATGGCCACAGGCTAATCCAATGGATAAAATTTCTCAAGCCAGGGCATGGTAGCTCATGCCTATAGTCCCAGCACTTGGGAGACAGAGGCAGGCAGATCTCTGTGAATTCAAGGCCAGCCTGGTCTACATAGTGAGTTCCAGGGCAACTGGGGCTACAGGGAGACCCTGCTTCAAAAAGACCAAAAAAAAATTCCTCAGTTGCAGGTCCCTCTTCTTAAGTGACTGTAGTTTGTGTCAAGTTGACAATACCAACCAGCACAAGGATCATGCAGAATTATACTTGTAGAGGAAGAAGCGACTTTGACATGTTCTCGTTCACTTCTTTTTACAGATATGGAAACTTGAGATTTCTCTCAAGTTACTTGCTTGAGACCAAATCATGACTGTAGTAAGAGATTTTGGTTCACCTCTCAAAGACTGCTAACTATTCACAGCTAAAATAATGCATTAAAGCTTGAAAATGTGTAAGTGGTGGTACAGACATTTGAACCCCAAGGTCCAGGAACACCAGGTTCTCCCAGAATATGTGTAAATGCCCTGGGCCTCACTGTAGCCCTAATGTGTATTGTGTGCTGTGATATAGCTCCCCTCCCACTCTAGTGCTGAGGATAGAATTTAAGACCTTGCATATGCTAGGAATGAGCTCTGCTACTGAGCCACATGACTTCTTAAGCCAAGTCTAGTATTTTGGCACATAGATTCTGTCCTCTTAGTTAGGAAGAACAGTCTCAAAAATGATGCAGAGCATACAGTCCACAGATCTTTCCGTTTCCTTGCCTGTCACCATTTCAGGAAGGAATAACATGTTCTTGGTTTAACTGGTGTGGTTTAACTGAGTGTCTTGGAGATGCTTTCTGCAGTTTGTTGATCCTTCCCCTAATGGCAAAAATCTTTCATTAAAAAAAAAAATGCATCTGAAAGATTTACTTTTAAAGGATAATAATCAGTAGGTACTAAAAGTCTTACTCATTTTTATGATTAACTTCATTCCCCTGGAGTAAACTAGAACATCAATGTGAACTAAAGATTGTGAATATAAATTCTGTTCATTAAAATGTGAAGCTCTTGAGCACATAAGTATAACCCTGGCTTTTCTTCAGGCACACTTGGTTTTTTTTTTTTACATATAATGCTGAAAAGGTATGAGTAGTTCATATTTTGACCTTTATTCTGATGAACTCTTTTTATTCCCCTCAGCTCAAAAATTGAGGAAGAACTTAATAATTTATTAGTGATAAACTAAGTGATAAACTAAGTTAATGGGTTGTGTGGCATTTAAGATGCTATTTGGAGAGTGGGTTTGAGCCTAGAGAGTTTCATTGGTACTTTGCTTGGCTTTTCTTAAGTAATGTCTCTCTCTTTCTTAGTGACCCTCTCTGTTTAATGTGGTTTAGAAGATAAAGATGCAAGAATTGGAACAAAAGCTAAAAATGAACCCTTTGAATAGTAAGCTAGTCTGCAGGAGATATCTTAGGGAAGAGATGACTCCACAAGTAGACTGTGGTAAAGTTTAAATAAAAACTCTTCCCCATTTAGAAGCTTAGATTGAGTTTGTGGCTGTCGGCTTCCCTGTGCTGACTTCCTTTTCTAAAGTCTTCATTTGGAGCAAGCACAGGAAGTGCTGTGCTACAGTCTTTGCCTACTTGTGGATCTTTTGGAAGGTAGTAGCATTCAATTAAAATGAAAGGATGTTACTTCAAGAAAACTATCTAAAAAATGGATGATTGGGCTGGAGAGAAGGCTCAGCAGTTAAGAGTACTGACTGCTCTTGCAGAGGACCCTGGTTCGATTTCCAGCACCACCATGGCGGCTACGAACCGTCCTTAATTAACTCCAGTTCCAGGGAAATCCAAAACCCTCTTCTGACTTCCATAGAATTGCACGACACGGGTGCACTCACATACATGCAGGCAATACACTCATATACATAAAATAAAAACAATAAAATTTTAGAAAAAAAATGGATGATCATCTTTGTGTTTCTGTTTCTTACCTCTTACACATTTTCTCTCTCACCTCAATTCTGTCTCTTTAATCAGCCATATAATATAGAACTAATGTATATTTTTATTATAATTAATATCTTTATTTGGGTTCTCATGTATTCCTCTGGTTAAAGTTGATAGGCATGGTGGGGGCCTAGTATATTTTTCCAGTGGGTCATTGACCCTCAATAATAGAGAAACTGTATCCACTTTACTATCCCTAATGACTGGAAAGATGATAAACTATTCAGGAAACAAATTTAAAGTTGGTCTATTAATATTAAACAGAAAAAAAGGAAAAAG